ATATCGATGCAGCATCCGACCGAGGAGGGTGGGAGCTCCGTCTGGTTTCTGCGAACGTGATCAGGTACAAGGATGCGGTCGAGAGAATGAGCGTTGTACGACCTCGACGCCCAATTAATTCACGTACAAACACAGTTTTGGACTGGTCTGCTACATATCGTGGTGTACCTACCCGCGAACCCGACCCCCTGCCGTTGTTATGTGGTATTTGGCGAAATGACACGCTGACGCGCTAACACTTTGACTTTGAGTCCGCCTCACACTCAACAAGATCATATGTCATTACCGAAACCATACATATGATCAAGTACTGCGTACGTTGACGGACTTCCGCACGTCTAGTATTCTTGGCGTTAGGTACTAGAATGGCCTCGAATTAACCTTGCTAAACACAAACATAATCTTACCGTCATTGCCACGCATTATAAAGAATACTTTATGACATTTCCATGAGCAGTTCATCAATCCGGCAACGTAGTCTTGATCTCCGATCATTGTGTCGTTGCCACGCGACATCATATCATGCGCCCACCCCGTTCAGGATTTTTCTGAACACCCTAGAGCCTACGTTGACGTTAGATCATTTACTTTGCATATTTTCATCTTAATGTAGGCTGCAGACTCGTTCATCTCTTTCCTTGTATGAATGCACCGAAGGACGACAAAGGCCATGGTCTCGGATCTATGGAGATACTGCTTCGTGGGGAAGCGGGCTTCTCGCGTACAAGACGGCTGTAACTCAAAGTGCTACCTAGTGGGCACTGATCATTGGTACTAGAGACGCTCGCTGAGCATAGAGATTGTCACTCAAGATCTTGAACACGACAATTAGCGAACCCGCTACTCTTCTTTGGAACCGTGTCTCAACTACTCTCCTGCCGGAATACAAAGTCAGGTGACGTTCGTGGTCCACGCCAAGTACGCCCACCCATGGTGCAGTACTCACAGATACTTACTACCTAGCAGTATATTTGGATGCCTACACGAATGACGCCGGTTCTACTCTACTTACTGGGCTTTACTTGCGTACCATGGTTGTGGTGTGCATGTGGTCAGTCTCCAGCTTTTCGCTTAGTATGTACCCTCTCCCATAGGACGAGTTAGGCTGCGCAAAACGACAGAACCACAGTACTTTGACGTGACTCAAGACGATCCAAAGTTCAGCATCCATCGTGAAATCCTACTGTGTTAGTATATAATCTCGCACATTCAATGCATCCTTTCTCAAGATACTTTTCTCAAGACACTACTATCATACAATTCAATACACCACACACAGATAACAGCAACAGAAAACTTCATGTCTTCTGATATGGCTTCCACCAACTCTTCCCCAGCGCAGTCGCGTGCCAGTCTGGATAGCTCAACCACACTGGCGCCACAACCCTCGGCCCCCGGCCTCGCGCCCACCATCATCCTCAACGAACACACCTCGCCCGAGCGCACTGCGCACGCTTGGTCCACAAAACGAAAGTGGTGCCTTTTGACCGTGGTCGCATTCTGTCAGATCAGTATGAATCTCAACGCCTCGGTATACTCCAACGCCGTGCCTCTGCTGAACGACTACTTCGGCATCACAAACGCCCGGTTGGGGATGACTGCCTTCCTCGTCGCATATGCGTTCGGCTGCGAATTCTGGGCGCCGTTCTCTGAGGAATTTGGACGCTGGCCTGTCATGCAAGCTTCTCTTGGGCTGACGAACATCTCGGTCCTGGTTTGCGCCACGTCCAACAGCTTTGCCGGAATCATCGGTGGCAGGATCATGGGCGGCTTGTCATCGGCTGGTGGATCGGTCACCATGGGCATGGTCGGTGACATGTATCACAAAGATGAGCAGCAATATGCCGTCTTGTGGTGTTCGCTCTTCTCGTGTCTCGGATCAGTCATTGGAGGCATTATCGGAGGCCCGCTCGAGCAGTTCCTGGGTTGGCGTTGGAACTTCTACATCCAGCTTATCCTTGGAGTAACGACCCAGTTACTTCATGGGGCCATCGCCAAAGAGACTCTGGCTCCTGTTATGCTCGACAACGCCGCGAAGAAGGAACGAAAGAGCGGTAATGTCAACATCCGGGGACCGAACGAAGACAAGAAATGGAGGGACAGGCTGCACTACAAGGAAGTTGCCACCACGATGTTTCGACCATACCAGCTGCTCTTGACTGAGCCCATCGTTCTCTTCCTCTCGCTGCTGAGCGGTCTCGCTGACGCGCTCATCTTCTCTTTCTTCGAGAGCTTCGGCTATGTTTTCCAACAATGGTCGTTCACGCCTACGCAGATCTCGCTTGCTCTCGTCGCATTAGCCGTGTCATACATCATCGGCTACTTTACCTTTTTCCCCATCATCGCCCGCCACAATGCTCGACGTAGCCGGGGTGAACAGCTCGCACCTGAGGCACGTCTCAAGCCACTCCTATGGCTCGTCACCCTCCTCCCTGCTGGCCTGCTTATCTGCGCATTCGTCGCAACAGGGCCACCACTCCACTGGTTCGGCGTCATCATGGCCACTCTCCTCATTGGAGTCGCGAACTTTTCCATCTACTACGCGTCCATCGATTACATGGTCGCCGCCTACGGACCACACAGCGCGTCTGCGACTGGTGGCAACGGCTTCATGAGAGATCTGCTCGCGGGTTTATGTGCGCTCTACACCAAGCCCATGTACAGCAATCTAGGTATCCAGAGGTCGTATCTGGTACTGTTTGGCTTGACGGCGCTGTTTTGTCTTCCGGTTTACATTTTTTACTTCAAGGGTCCGGCGATTCGTGCGAAGAGTAAGTTCGCAAGTCAGTTGGCAAGAGAGAGCGAAGCGCGCGGTGCGCCAGAGGTGACGATGAGTTCTGCATCGCCCACGAGGGTCTTTCAGGAGGTTTAGCGTTACGTGTGTTGACGACTTGTATTAGCTTTTAGTTCAGTTCTTGCTTTGGCGGATACCCAGGTGTGCGTAGGTTGCAGTTGCTTTGTACGTATAGAACAGAAAAATAAACAAACACGATAGAAATACGTTTGCATAAGCGCAACATGTATACATCAGTTGGCGGGTAATTACTCAGATTTCGTGAGGGTGCCCAGGTGAGAGTGGGAGATAAGTGCGCGTCATGATGACATAAGCACTGCTTCAACTGCCGAGGCTTGCCGTTGGTCGCGATGCTTGGCCGGCACCCGCGTCGACTGAATCCTCGAACATGTCATCGAACGGTAATACAAGACTGCATCCTTGAGTAGATCACGATCGACCTAGAGCTTAAAATGTAGCATTCACCATATTGAGCTGCTGGCTCAACGCCCCGACCCATACTCGTCGTTTCGCAACACATCACGATGGCGCCAGCAAAGCCCAAGGACATAGTAATAGTAGGAGGATCTCTAGGCGGCCTTCTGACTGGTGTCGCATTGAAGCGCCTTCGCAAAGATCTCAACATCCGCATATTCGAACGCAATCCGACGCCGCTTCTGCAGGATCAGGGCGCTGGTGTGGTGGCCGGACAGGACGTACAGAAGTTTTTCAAAGCGCACGACCGAAGTCAAACTACGTTGACAATCCCGAGTCATCAACGGCTATATCTCGATAAGGAAGGCCATGTCATAAGCCGTCACAATCAGGAGCAGCGCATGACAAGCTGGGATCTGCTTTACCACCTCCTACGAACCAACTACGATGGTACTGAGACCGACTACGCCAGGGTACCCACTACGGAAGAAGGGGAGGGAAAGACATCGTATGAATATGGGTGTACAGTTACGAGTGTTGCGGTACCAAAATCTGCATCATCTCTGGAATTGGACTTCTCAGAACCCGTCAAGATCACGGTCCAACACAAATCCGGAGAGACTTTCTCGACCGAAGCAGACCTCGTCATTGCAGCCGACGGACCCAGCTCCAAGATACGCGCCGAATACTTCCCCGACGTCAAGCGAACGTACGCCGGATACGTAGCATGGCGCGGCACAGTACCCGAAACGCAAGTCTCACAGGCTGCCACCGATGTCTTCGTCGAGAAATTCCCATTCTACCACACGGAGGGTATTCAGATACTAGCGTATACTATACCAGGGAAACACGGAGTCACCAAACCTGGTGAGCGATTGCTGAACTGGGTCTGGTACGTCAACTACAAGGAAGAATCGCCGGAGCACGTCGAGCTCATGACAGACAACGAGGGGAAGAGACATCACATCACATTACCGCCGGGTGGAATTAAAGAAGATGTATGGAGACGGCAAAAGGCCCTCGCGAATGAGATACTTCCACCACAATTCGCTGAGCTTGTCAACAAGACTGAGGTACCCTTCGTACAAGCCATCACAGATGTCATCGCGCCATCTGCCTTGTTGGAGAACGGTAGAGTACTCTTGCTTGGCGATGCACTTGCTGGATTCAGACCACATACAGCGGCGAGTACAAACCAGGCTGCCTTAGACGCGATGAAGCTTGCTGGCGCTGTCGAGAAGGTTATCGGAGGAGGAGGAATGGACGCGCTGAAGAAGTGGGAGGAAGAAGTAATGGACTACGGTAAAGAGATGCAAAGTCACGGTGTGCAGATGGGGAACCGAAGTCAGTTTGGTGATCATCCGATGCAGAGGTAAAGGTAAAGGTAAATTACGAGGTGTACTAGGGCACTGAAGGTAAAGGTAGAAGGTATCTACCGTTGTCTGTTTCTCTAGCTAATCTTTATATCTTGTTAGAGAAACACTCGCAAAAAGTTATCTTGTACGCTCACCTTAGATGTCATGTTAACATGACTACTTTACTATGTCTATTCCATCGTGTACTAGTCTATACTTGCCGACCTTTACCTGCACTAAACATTCTCGCCTCTTACCTGTTTCTCTTACATCTTTAAGAGACCGTTCCCTGACCGCCTATTAGGAGAGACGCTAAGCGTATATATAAGACTACTCTACTACTTGCTCTCTAGGTATCCTTCCTACACCACACTCTAATATCCTTACACCTCTCGTCTATCTCACAACATAGCTATTGCCTCTAATACTTCTACACAATGGACGGGCCACCGAAACCACCTGGCCGCCTGGACTACTATGAACTGCTCGGCGTGCATGAGAGTGCGTCTTCTGCTGAAGTAGATGCAGTATACAAAAGGCTGCGACTCATTCACCATCCGGATAGCAAGTTCGCCGACGCGAAACCCAGCACGGAACTGTTCCAGAACGTACGTACCTACACATTGTTGACTACCTTTACTTGACTAAAGTATTATGTCTAGATTGGTATTGCGTGGAAGGCGCTGAAGAGCAGCAAGGAAAGGGCCAGATACGACAAAGATCACCACAAGATACGGGGCGCTTGGAATGTCTATCGCGTGCGATTGGGGGCTTGGGAAGCCACTGAACGAGAAAATAAACGCGGCCAGGCAAGAGTTCAAGAGAGACAGCGAAAGATACTCGAAGAGGAGGCCGAGCTTGAAAGGGAGAAGGCGAGGAAAATCCAGGAGAAAGCTGTTGAGGCGGCATTACTACGTTCAGAACGTATCAAAGCAGACAAATTACGGCGTGAGGAACAAAGAAAACAAGAGGAGGAAGTCAAGCGGCGAGAGGAGGGAGTACGGCGCGTACAAGAGCAACTACAAGAGGAACGAAGACGACAAGGACTGGCGCGAGCTAAGGAAGAGGCGCGAGTTAAAGCTGACTGGGAAAAAGCTCAGAAACGAAGGGACTCCGCTAAGGACCATGGTGAACCACAGGATGAATTACCCCGACCAAGCGAAATCGACGACGAGCAATCCCCAGAACCGAACCAGGAAGGAAGTCAAAAACATGAACGGCTTGCCAGAAAGCAACGCGAAGCCGACGAGAGGCAGGCCAAGGTTTTTGCTGACGCTCAGAAGCGAAATGCTGAGGCTGCTGAAGAGCGACTTCGTCGTCAACAAGAGCTCTCTATGTCGCTGAAGCGGCCAGTCCCCGGTGATAGGGAGGATGCGCAAGACGAAACGGCCCCTAAAAAGCCTAAACTCGAGGAGTCCATGACATCAGGCCTCCGAAAGCACATGGCCCGTGAGCAAGCCCGGCGAATTCACGCTCAGAGACTCCAAGAAGTAGGTGGTCCTGGGAACGAAGAGCGACTCAGAGATGAGAGTATCGACCTTGGATGGAAGCACGTCGAGTATCAAAACGAGCCTTGTCCACAATGTCATACAAAGAGAAGTGCGGCCCAATTCGGCTTATGGGAGTGCCCAGACGGAGGGGCGTTGCGCTGTCGGCCATGTTTAGCTGCATTGAGTGTATTTTGTGCGTGACGGGAATGTCAGGACTTGCAGGGAACCGGACTTACTATGGGGCGAAAAGTGTTTTCTTTTGACAGGTTGTACAGTTTTCTTGACCTAGTTCAGCAGCTATCTCCTCCCAGTTTTCACTATGCTTATTTCGATTGAAGATTATCACGTAGCTAATCAGGTCCTCACATACACAATCATAGGGCGCTGAGCGCTATCCGGCAGCATTAAGATCCAAAGATAACGCAATGTGATTCCAAAATGCTATATACACTCCACCAATGCTCTATATACACTGTCTCGCAAGCCTTAACGAGCGACACAAAAGAAGTATGTACCCATGAACCACTCATCTCATCCCATGCCTTCCAGACATCTCATATCTCATTATTCGTGTTCGTATCTAGTACTCGAGGTCCTTGGGGTGGCGCTTGGCGAGCTTGTTGACAGCAGGGCCGGGGACGGGGTAGCTGGTGAAGGACTGGAAAACGTTGAACTTGATACCAGCGTCGTCGGCCTAAATCGTCTCGTTAGCACATGTTCGATATTGCACCCAAGCATGGTACGATTCGAGTGGGAGATCTTACCTTGTACAAGCTAGTACCAGCAACACCGCCGCTGGGCTTAGCAGTTCCAGAGCCCTCAACCTTGAAGTTGACGCACTGGGGGTACGCCTGGGCGCCGTTGGTCTGGCCAGCAGCGTGCAGAGCGATGATCTCGTGACGGACAACGTAGTTGCCAGGAGCGACGTTGGGGAAGGTGAGGTCCCAGGCGAAGTTGTTGGCGATGAGGTCGTCAGTAGCCCACTTTCCTGGGTTGCTTCCTGACTTCCAGGCGCTGGACTGGATCTTGGTCCACTTCAGGTCAGAGGGGCTGACGGAGCCGCAGTCGCCGTTGCAGGGCGCGATGTACTCCTGGATGGGGCCGACGTGGCTGACTGGCCAGGTGTCCCACTTGAAGGTGACCTTGCTGCCGGGCTTGACGGTAACGTAGGCACCGTTGCTCTTGCCCTGCTTGTGGCAGACGATGGCGGCAGTGCCGAAGCTGTCAGGGGAGACGAAGCCGTTGTCAAGGTTGTCGGCTTGCCATCTTTTGAGACTGAGTCAGTGTATGATTCCCGTGCAGTTCGTACAGAGTCACTTACCCTACGGTGGCGGGAATGGGGGTCTGGTACTTGAGAGCAGCGTTCCAGCCCTGGTATTCCTTGCCGTCGGCAACGACCTTGTCGACGTGGCCGTGGGCTGCCACAAGGGGCGCGAGAAGGAGGAGGAAAGAGAGCATGTTGATGGTATTCAAAGTGAATGACTTGTAGAAAGCGATTGTTGAAGCTGTGTAGTGATGGGCTTGCTGTCGAGAGTGACCTTCAACCTGGGACTTAACGCCCCTTCATATACTCCTCTGAAGTCTTCTAGTGGCCTTCTACAGACGCCCACGTTTTCCCACGACCAGGTATTGGCGAAGCCTTGCAATCAAAAAATTCATCTCCATGCACGAGTCGACCTGGTTTCTGAGTTGAACGCCATCCGCTCGTGGAAACACGCCCTGGTCGTCGAGCTCTTGGATCATTGGAAGCCCAGCGGTGTTTCCAGTCTGGTGACGGCGTGAAACCCCTGCGATAGGCTAGGAGAATTTCAATGACTCCAGTATTAATTTATGAGACGCAGTGCTGTCCTTGAAGTGGTGATGGGCAATCTATCCTCGGCTGCGGCCACTGCCGCCGTCCAAGTGGTCACCAACCACGTGCGAGTTTCAGCCACTATGTTGTGGTACTTTGTTTACTTAAACTCTGGGCGATGTGGACCTCTCGGTGTATTGACGGGACTCAACGAAGAATATTGTCGTTGTTGTATCAAGCTGCATGCTCAGGTACTCAACAGCCGAGAGTAACGATGCGATGCCTAACATTCCGCTAATGGCGCAACTCAGCAGCTCACGGGAACCAGCACGGATCTACGGCAGTCATAATGTAAGCCCTACGGCTACCGAAATGCAGTGTAACTAATACCCCGTGGGGACTTGGACATACTTGCAGTGTTGCTGCAAGTGTTGCTGCATCCGAGTCGATTATATCCGGTGGCGTCAAAACCCAGGGCGTTTAATGTATATAGATTAATCACGGACCGCAAACCCGAACGTCAACCCACTTTGTGGCGATGCAACTCTTGCACAAGGCTGGCGATCGATGCGTGCATCTCTGAAACGTCTCAGGTCACACGAAGTGCAACTCATCTAGAGAGGCATTCCATCTACTCCGACCACGATGAAGCCTCGATTCTTCAAGCACTGGTTTGCTCAACTTCTCCGTCTCTTGATGTCTTTTCGAAGAGTGGATACGCTGATTGCTAATTCCGAGATGCCCTGATCTGGATTCGTGGAGGGCCTGTTGGTGTAAATGTCCATTACCAATTCCAGGTCCAGAATCTCGTCGCTCGGTGTGTGTCCGGCCATAACAGATTACCCTGGAGACTCAACAGAAGGAAGGTAGCATCGACAATCTCTCTCGATAAGAGATCCCATTAACATTCTCTTGCTGCATCAGGTAGGATGGACGTCGCCGGCGCGACTGGCGCTTGGGGTCTTTGAAACCATTGCGTCCGTCGCGCGCCGACCACGCCCGCCCTTGCTGGAGCGCATACCTGGGTACCATCATGTGTTGCTACCGAAGGATGCGCATCTGCGTCAAAGAGGATCACGTGTCGATTGTAAGCATTGGCTTCAGTGTATCGCAACCATTGGAATCAGTAAAATCTCATCTCAACAACCAGAGTGTCAAAGAGGAGGACCAGAAGAAGGACGTCGAAGGTGTAAGAAGCTTGGGCTCAAGAGATCGTCAGGGCGGGCGCGAGGGACGGTGCGACGTCATCGCTGTTATGCTAAATTTATCGCTCTGACGTGCCTCACGATCGGCGAACGATGCGCATCGTCCAGGAACAAAGTTTGCGTCACTGAGTGTCGCATCTTCATATAAGAAAGCTGATGCTCTCGCTGTTGGCCTGAGGAGGTGGGGAATCTGACGCTCGGCATGCCTGGAAGGTGCGGATGACGCGTCACCAAGGCTAAGTAAGACCGTACCACCACAGGCGTCCCCAGCGAACATTCACCTTCACAGCCCCAAAAGACAGAAATATTCGCATCAAAATTGCGCCCAGAGGCAGAAGAAAAAGGAGGACATATCGCAGTATACAAAGCTAAGGAAACCAGAGGCTCCAAGAGTCGGGCCAAGTTCAGGTCCGAAACCTTCTGGTCGACATAGCCTCCCCGGGCTGTCCGGAAACCACACTTCCACGCGTGTCTACGCAGCAGACGAAGCTGGGGTGTTACGCGTTTCCGAGTGCCAACTGGTCTTAGACGTGGTCGATAGGTGGGGTAACGCAGCTTTACTGGCTGCCCAGGCACGTGAATATGTGACGCAGCCAATAGCATGATGAAAGGGTCGCATCCTCCTAGCAACCGATTGGGTCTTTGGTTCGCATCAGACGCACGATCTGGAAGACCTTGCGGTTCCCGAAGCGATAGCTGTAACGGTATATAGGTAAGTGATCGTGGCACGCAGGGTCTCGCAACTCGGTGTCTGTGGGACGTTGCCGCATCACACCATACTATTTCGTCGTCGTCAGCGCAACGCTGACCATCCCCTCGGTCTTTTTCTTGTCACTCCTGCAGCTTCCGGAACCTCCGCGCATTAGGCTCACTTTCTGCCTTACCTTTGTTGATCGTGAGCGTGTCACCACAGCAAACACTACTTCATCTCTATATCACTCGCTCCCGTCGCACGAGATTCTGTACCACAGCATATACCCCTTCCTCCGCAGTCACAATGTATCTTCAAAAAAGAAACAACATGGGCTTCGACATCGCCCCAGCCCTCATCATATTTCTCGTTATCCTCGGAGCAGGCGCGCTCGTCTGCTGCGGTTTCGCTGTCTACCGGTTCTACGGCGGAGAGCCTGAAGATGACTCAAGACGTTTCCACAGAAGCCCAGAGCAAGACTCCTATATGCGAGAGGTGCGGGAACGAAGTTGGCGCAAGCTACCCCAGCTGGGCATGCCAAAGCCCTATTTTCAGTCCAACCTGGGTCACGCACCGATGAGTCCAAGGTAAGATGACGTCGCTTCACCTGTGAGTGTAGCCTCAAGCTGACTTGAACAAGCGGTAGCAACACTACGTACGGATGAGAAACCGAGCACCCTCCAGCCTCGTCGAGGTGGATGCCAAATAAGACTGCAACACATGCGGCCTGAGAGGGCGTGAGGCCCTACAACAGGATGAACAGCGACGCGACACTACGAAACGACCGAGAGGCACTACTTTTGCAATTGTATTGGATTAGACCTCATAAGAGATGTTCGGAATTTTGTTTGGGTGATAAGAAGCGTTCGACGGATCAACCACCACTCCCGGCCTGACGGACCCCACTCGTCGAAGCCTTCCTCCTCCAGATACTTCACGATCGAGGAGAAGTGGCTGCAAAGCCACTGATCGACAGGGGAAAATCTTTACCTCACGATCAGAATGCTGTCAACCTCCCGGGAAAGCGGGGTGGTCCGAGACGGACAGATAGTTCTGGGGCGGGGTTCCGGGACATGGTTTCCATAAGGGTAGATTGGAGTTTCCAAGGGTTTTATACCTCTTGACTGATGTAGTGTTCCGAACAATGCAGTGCAAGTTCTTCACTCTATCACGCATGCGGTCGTTGCCATGAGCGTGAACTGGTAGCAAACCGCAACATCCCGGTGACTTTGACAGACGACATCGCAAGACGTGCAAGGAGTATCCGTGATATCTTAGAAGTTTCCCGAGCATGGACATGACTCATATGTCAGCACGAAAGACGGATTGGGCCACTGGAGCCTCTTCGGACGACCAAGATTCCGTTTCCGAATGGCCGAGAGATGCCCAAGAAGCTGGGTACAGCCACAGCCACAGCTGAGTCTTGCAGTCGTTTAGTGATATGCGCAGGGTCCGAAAGTCTAATTGTACGCTGGTTTGAGCCCAGACTGTATTCTTTGTGAGCCGTTCCGTG